GTATTGATAAATTTCGAGGGGGGTCCCTTAGCGCGGACGCTGCCACTCTCTGCCGGCTTAGACGAGGAGGAACACGAAAACCACAAATGCTCAACTTGTTGAGTGACTGAGGCGGGGTAGTGGGGTGGGATGGTTGAGTGTTTGGCGTGTGTGGAGAGTAGGGTGGGGCTGGGGAGGGGTGTGGCACTAGCAATTGTGGAGCCGGTTCGCGGTGGGAGCACCGGTGGCGACCGGCCTGATTCGCGCTGTGACGTCAACGCGCGCCACACAGTGGAGAATGTCGCGGATCAAGTGGGAATTGCAACCAGACCGAGAGGGCACTATCAAATGAATTGATAAATATATTGATTAAGCTGAAGGAGCGTTAGAGAAAAATCATTGTACGAAGGCATCTAGTAGTCGCTTCTGACTGGTCAAGTTTGCTACTAGCATGCCAAATATATCCACGGAATATCGGTTCGTTTGCCTTTGACTATAAAAGCTGCTATGATCGAGGCCCACGCCACAAATAAGCATGCCATCCACGACTGCCGCCGCAATGCGGCATTTGGAAGAAGGCAGGGAAGATTTGTCGGGTGGTTTCGCAGCATGGTGAAGCAATTGTCGGTGATTGGGTTGACATCTGTGATTCTACATCAGTCAATTGCGGCGTGAACGTTCGGTGTCGGATAGACTCTCCACGGTGGATCTCAGAGTTACTGAAGAAAGCCTTCTGAGTCAATTTTGACATGCAACGATATGGCTTTGGAAATCAAGATCACGTATCTCTCGATCGATATGCATAGGGAGCTTCAAATCTGAATTGAATTCTTCTGGTATGGATAAATGTTTTAGATGCATCATTGAAATTACCTTATAGCGTCAAATAATGGCAAAGTACTTGTTCAAAAACGACCTGCAACTCGCAATTAGCATGAATATAAATCCGTGCATCACGCCTTTATGGCCAAGTGGTAAGGCACCTCACTAGTAATGAGGAGATCGTCAGTTCGAATCTGGCTGAAGGCACTTCTTTTTAGACTTTGAACTACAACTCTTTATAACAACCATAGTTTGTACTAGGCTAGAAAACAAACCAGCTTCATCTTATTATACCTGTCGGACTCGAGTCCTCTAGTTGAATTGTACATGGACCTTCCATTAAACGAATGAGTTTAACGAGTAAAGCTCAAATTCGACGAGTTGAGATATGTAATGAAGTGGCTTTTCCTTACCTGTATTTCGCCTTGAGTGAGTTGAATCTCAAAGTAAAGCATTATGTTCATAGCTCAAGCAAGTGTGAACCTACAGCGTTGGCAGATCCACTTGAATGAGGTAGCGGTAAGTAATGACATTGGCCTGGTAACAGTTGAACCATAGCACATACTCTTGTAAATCTTTTGCATACGATGTGTTGCACTCGTCTAAAACTACCTCAAACTTTTTCTGCATATAAACTCCGCGCCTCTCGTCAAAAATTATTTCAAATTTTTTTTTCAATTTTTTTTTTCGGATTTTTTTTTTTCTTCAGAACATCTTCTAATTGCTATCATACATATATTTGAGCTGTGCCGATCATAGATTTGGATTCAAAGCTCACTAAAGTTGTTCTGTTGATGGCAAAACTTTGACCTGAAAATTCCTTACTACATGCAGGATTTGCACGAGACCGCACATAAAAGCGTCATAAGTATGTCACTTTTTAATAGAGTTCATGAAAGTTTCGTGGCCAGTTTTGTAGCTTATTAAATTTGAAGCAGTGGTACCAATTTTGATCTGCCCATAATTTACAGTTAGTAGCTCCATGTTTATCGTGAAAACTGCATATTCTGCAGGCGGGGCAGGTAGGGTGCCATTGCTAAAACTACGTCAAATTGAATGTTAACTTGCCCAGAGATTTATCTACCATACTTCTGATGCCAAAGAATTTTATGAAGCTAATTAAAAGTCTGTACCAATTTTTCCCGATTTTATATGACATTTTGTAGTTTTTTGTATGAAAATTCAGAAAAATCCCATTTTCTGTTATAGATAGTATTTGGACCGTATAAATCACAGCGGGTTAATTTGTTTCTTTCTCAGGTCCAGTATAGGTGATGAAAGACATCATTGAAAAATCATTAATGATATGCACATGCATTGCTTGTGTGCAAAACCCCAAACTCGAAAGCGTGCTATAAGTGTCAGTAACCGTGGCAGCACTTAACTAAACCCCTCAAACCAAATAGATACACCCCTAGATTACAGTGATACTTGTGAAGTTGGGCTAGCCACTCTGTAAGTGCTTGATACAACTTGACTTGTTTTATCTTGCATATTTTTGATGCACCTGCATACAAATATAGTTACAGACTAGGGGTAAAATCTATTCTATCACTTCTAAAAACATCGCAGGTCAATTTCAATGCTCACTAGATGTAATAGACTACGCCACAAACTTAAAGTCGTCCAGAAAAAAAATTTGCAAAGTAAAAAAAAACTTTTTTTTTCCACAGTTAAACTCACATAGAGACGCCAATTTTGAAGTCGACTGGCCCAAAATCACATCAAACATACTTCCAGTGCCAACAAATTTTATGGAGCAAACGAATTGTCTTTGTCGATTTCTCCTGACTTTATAGAATTTTTTTTAATTTTTCAAGGAAAATTTTAGAAAATTTAAATAATTCCCATTTGTTGTCGCACGTAATATTTGCATAGTATTCCATACAGTGATGTTGTTCATTTTCTTCTAGGATGTCGTTGACTTCATTGAAGAACTTAGGTAGGGTTCTTCTAATTCCTGCATACTGGATCTTTGTGTGTAGGCAACCCTGATGCCTGCATATATGGTTTGGTCTTGCTTGTAATCTTTGTGCTTTCAGCCAAACTCAACATCCCACGTTTTACGTTGTAAGCAACTTCGCAATATAATAGCGTACTTGTCACAACATCAATACTGTAGTCGATACTGAAACATACTGAAGAAAACAGAAGATCACGAAAAAAATAGAAGTAAAAAACAAGAAAAAAAAGAAACGAAAAAACAAAAGGAAAAAAACGCATTTTAAAACAACAACATAACGACAAGTATTGATTGGTGCACGTGTAATTGAGGCTATATATTAATCACTATGTGCGTGCTATGAGTAGTGGCCTGATCACTTTTTCTTCTTGGCTGGTTTGCCTCCCTTAGCGGCCTTTTTCGGGTTCCCCTTTGCTTTACTATCGCTACCAGCACTGCCCCCAGGAAGCACGAGCCGCACTTTGGACACTGTGATCACCCCCATGGCATCGTTAGGCTTAATTCCTTGGACATGATGGCGTTCGCTGGGCCAGTCCAAATCGGTATCTGTTTCGTCCTTATCCATCTTCCGCGTGGTCCAGTAGTGGATCAGTTCGGTGATGCACTTACCCTTCTTCCCTGTACCGGGTTGAATTTTTACCTTGTACTTGAATTTCCCCAAAGACATCCAGGGCGCAAATACAGGCACACAACCAATGAACTTATCGCCCTTTTGCGGTTTGGAAAGGAACCCGTCGAGGATATCGAGATAATTCGTCTCACTCAGCTCGTCCGAAGTATCGTCTCCGGCCATGATATATTTAAGGTATTCTTTGGCGTCTTGCTTCATCTTTCTTTGAGCCGCTTGTTGTTGTTGCTGTTGCTTTTGTTTCAGCGAGTCCGATTGATTCTGCTGGGCTTGTTTTTCTGCTTCTCGTTGCTTCACCTGCTTGAGCGTACCGAGAACTTCCATACGCATGCGACGCTCTTCCTCATCTTGGTCAGCATATTTCGACTGGATCTTCTTGAGCTTGGCCTTTTTACCTCTGACCTTCTTATCAATCGTCGACGGAGAATCTTCGCGAACCGGCGTCAGTTCAGTAGAAGTAACAGATTCGGCAGTGTCAGTGACTTCCTCAGGCCTAGTCTCGACATCACCAGATTCCTCGGGCTTAGTCTCTTTTTCTTCAGCCTTGGTTTCAGCCTTGGTTTCAGCGTTGGCTTCATGCTTGAATTTGAGCTTGGCCAATTGTTCCAAGTCCTGCTTCTTCGTATCCATAACCACCTTCAACCCGTGCTCGGTGTACTTTTCCACCCGCTTATCGTGGTGCTTCTTCTTGGTCTCTTCATCGGCAAGCATATAGAGCCCAAGCCCCATTACCAATTGAGTTGGAGGAAGGTATTCTTTTTTAGCAGTGTAGTTGAAACTTCCAGGAGATAAAAGAGTACCGTCGACATCCTTTTTACTCAAGTCAGCCACCAGCATCACCCACGCCAGCGTGCTAACCTTGTTTTGCCAGGCATCGGAGGCGGCGAGAGCGTACATCCCGGCCTGCATCAACGTCAGGGGCGGCACGTCTTCACCCTTGAACGGGTTCTTGATGAAGACCTTGAGGGAGTTTTCAACGTCAGCAGAAACGAAGTAGTCGTTGTCGCTGATATGCCGGAAGTAGATCATATCATTCTGCATGCCGTCTTTACCCGCAAGGCACAAGTACCCGTCGCTAGACACAAACCAGAAGAACTTCTCAAACCAGTATTTCGGTCTGATCTGGCGCAATTTTCCTCCCAGAGCCTCTTCTTCCTTCAACAGTCGCTGAAGGTCCTGGTTGATCTTTCTCTCGGCGTTCTTCAACGCAACCTCAGTATTCTTCTCAACCTTAACTTGCTTTGATTCAGCCAGCTTTTTGGTTTCAAAATAGGTAGTGGCGTTAGCGTAAGGAGACAAGTTGATGTCGACCCACACGTTGACGGTAGGCTGTTGCGGTTTAGCACTCTTCTTTTGCGTCGCTTTCCGCTTACGGCGAAGCCTCAACTCTTCGTCAGAGTCCGAGTCCAGATCTGAGTCCAGCAGGTCAGACTCCGACTCCAGCTCAGACAGCTCAGACTCAGTCTCCGAGTCATCAACCCCCGAACTAGTGTCATTCTCCACCTCTGCATCCTGGTCAGCCAAGGCCAATTGAATCTTATTCTCTTCAAGCTTCAACGGCAACTTAATTGCTTGTGCCACCTTATTACCCTTTTTTTGCTCCAACTTAATATAGGACTCAATGTTTGTCCAGTCCATTTGTTGGGCCACCAAGGAACTGACAAAGTCCATACACTGGCTCACCCAGTCAGCGTGGAGAATGATGGTGTCACCACGCTTCTTGTTGGCTTCCTGCTGCTGTAATAACAGCTGAATCTGGCGGTCACGCTCGCTGCGGGCCGTCTCTAACCGTTTAGCGGCTGAGAGCTTTTGCCGCTCAATTCTTACAAGGTTTTTCAGCGACTCAAGCGTAGAAAAGAACTTGTCCACAGTATTGTTATATCCCTCAACTGGCTCTATTTTGTACAAGTCTGCGGGTTCCTTTCTCGGGGCAAATGGATGGAATTCGTCCAAGATGTACTCTAATGAAAGCGAGTCTTCCGCGTTGTAGCTCGGATTCTTCTTTGACACCAAGTAACCTGTAACGCTCGGTTCAGTCATAAGCTCAGTGTATATGTCGTTTGTCCGCTTGACTGCTTCTTCAACCCGTTCGAGCTGTTGGGGCTGGTTATCAAGAGTGAGACAACTGGTAGACTTTTCTATGCCGATCTCGCCCAACTCTCGAAGAATCAAATCAGCAGGTAAGTGTGCCATGTGAACAAACAAAAGCTTGTGCACCGAGTAGACTTTTTGCTTTTTCAGTCCCCCCTGAGACAATTTTTCCTTGTGTTCATCAATCCACAGCTGGATTTGTTCTGCCAGCGGCACTGGGTGGCTCTTGAACTGAGCCTGAGGCTTGGAACTGGTTTCGGTATCGGCAGAGTCGTCCTGCTTAGGCGTAGTGTCGCCAAAGAGCTGGTGACGGTCAAACATAGTATAGGGTTCATTCACGGCGTAGCGGTCGTTATTCTCGTGTTCACGAACCACACGGTTGAGCATGAGAATCTTCTGGTTTTCGTCAAGCAAAAGGATATTGCCGGCACTGAAGAACTCAAGGACAAGGTAGAAAAGCCCGTCGCTGAAACTGAGCACCAACACCCGGTCGTCGCCGATCTGCTTGATCCCTGTGAGCCGCCGGGTCCGCAAGTGTTTTCTCAACTTGGTGATGAAGTTCAGCGGCTGCGGGGACGTCGGCATCTCGTACAGGGTCAAGTGAACGCGGTGGCCACACTCGAGCATCATCGCCTTTTTCAGGTCGGGGACGGTGAAGCGGAGGAGAAACTGGCGGTTGGGATTGGCGGCGACATTGTAGATGTTGGATAGCCGGTAGTTGAGCACCTCGGGCTCGAGCTCGCGGGCGAGGATCAGGAGGTCGAGGGCGGTGATCCGTTGCTTCATGGTGGTGGCGCGAAGACGAAAAGTGCACGGCTTTAGCGGTGAGAGGTGGGGCAATGTGAGAGAGAAAAAGACAAAACCTGACATGATAATACCTGATGACGTAACAAGATGATATTGCAAATTAATAGTCAATGCAATTGATTGTGTAATTGGTAGATCAAGGGATAGTGGTAGTATTGGCGCGTTTTAAGTCGTACGAGCAATTGAAAGGGACGAATGAGCAATTGACTAACAAAATCGGAAAACCAATAGCACGATACTTGAGAACCAGTCATATCAATCAGTTAAAATCAAAAATTAGACCGGGTTCATTGTGCTTTCTTCAGGTTTGGCAGTCCCGATTTTGGCTCGATGGTGTTGATATTTGATACCACCGCGCACTAACGTTACACCACCCCACTCCCTATGGCTAGCGACGGGCCTTCAGCACGCTCTGGGCTCACGCCGATACGCTCACTGGACGGGCTCTCGCCAGTCAAAGTGCCGCGAGAGGCGGACCTCTCGTGGCAGGTGTGGAACCGCGAGCTGGAGCTGATGCGGCACCACTACGAGGACATCATCCGCCGCAAGGACGACGAGTTCCGCAAGCTCAAACAGAACTTCGATTTTCTCAAGGACGAGGCGCAGCAGCAGCAGCTGAAGCTCAAGAACCAGGAACAGATTTTGGCGGCGGAGAAACGCCGGTCGTTGTCGCCGAAACCGGGGTCGATACCGTCGCTGCTGGAGGTGGAGCTAAAGCTGAAAGTGAACCTGTTGGTGGTGTTGTTGAAGGAAAAGGAAGCCGAGGTTAACCAATTGAAACAGGAGAACGCGTTGCTTGACCAAAACCTCAGGGAGAATAACCAGGAACTTCAGCAGACTTTGGATGACCACCAGGCGGAGTTGGACTTGCTCAAACAACAGGCAGCCAGTCATCGAGCCGAGAATGTTGACCGGGAACAGCTTACCGATGAGATACGCCGATTGCTGTCCCAAGTCACCGACTTGAAGGCGAAGGTGTCGCTGAAAGAGCAACGCCAGTTCTCGGTAGCCGTGCTTGAGGAAGAGCTTGCTCGCTACCGCAAACACGCTCTGGAACTCGAAGGAGCTAAACTACGCATTAAAGAGCTTGAGCTCGACAATATGAAGCTTGAAGCCCGCCTCAATAGCCCCCGCCCAGCGACCAATAACGACGGTACCTACTTGGAGTTGTTGGCGGTGAAAGATAAGTACGACGAGCTTTCCATCGAGTTCAAGGGTTTACTCGATAAGTGCCAGTGGCTTGAGGACCAAGGGCTCGAGCTTGCGGGGCAAGTCGAAGCGGCGGAGGCCAAGGTGCTGGCGATGCGTGACGAAAGAGATGAGGCCCAGCGCCAAACCCAGCTCCGCCAGACCGAGATCGACTTCTTACGTAACCAGATTAACTCGGGATCAGACAATGGTGACTACATCAAGCGGTTAGAAGCTCAAGTGGAGGAGTTACGCCGCACTACTCAACAGCAGCAACCATTACAACCACCAACGTCTCAACTGCCGCTGCTGCTGCCGCTGGTGAAGCGGATGCGAGTGGAGAACGACGTCTACAAAAAGCTTCGCCAGCAGAACACTGAGTATGCCGTGCAAGTGAAACGACTTGACCAAGCTAAGCAACAACTTGAAGGTCAAGTTAAGCGACTCGAGCAAATCATCTCGCAGCAAAAGGATGTTCGAGTGTTACAGCTACGCGCTAACCCTTTGACGACCGATCAGTTCATCAAGCAAGAACAGATCGACGCGTTGAGAGAGGAAAATCGCGCCTTACGCGACGAAAACTGGCACCAGCGAGACGTGGTGCCTAAAGCCACCTACGACGCCTTGCAACAGGAAATGCTGGTGGTCCGCTCACGGGTGGACTCCGTGGGTAAGCGCAACCTCCGCTTAAAGGAACAGTACCAAAAGATGACCACTAAAGTGACAGCGGCGATCATTCGCTACTTTGGCTACGAGTTCCGCTTTGTCGAGGACCCCACCAACCCGCTCCAGGTGACGCTGAAATTGAAGCTCCAATCAAAACACTACCAAGGCTCTGGTTACTTAATCATTGATATCGATACCCAGGAATTGGAAGTGCATGGCCCGCCTGAGTTCAAGCTGTTGTGCACGTCGGTTGCCGAGCAGTGGGTCGACCCGCAGAACAAGCCGACGCTTCTTTTGGCGGCGCTCAGTCTCAAGTTGTTTTCGTCTTCTAATTCCGACCGCGCTGCTTGAATCTCCAACCTAATTTACGAACTAAGTACAAAATTGGTTTAGGACGCCACCATGACCAAATTGGGACGAAGCAGAGAACCAGATTTAAGGCACACTCAAAATCTTCACGAGATAGAACCATAAATACCATGACCCCTTATGTGGGATAATTCAACGGAATAAAGACTACCAATTCCAGAAGTAATGATGTTTCCTTTTTAATGCGTAATAGTGTGCCTTGTCACATTCCCTTTCTCTGAACTCTTATGGCATGCCTTAGTCGCAGTAGGTTCTCCCTAAACGTGGCTAAAACCCCACATTCGGCCTTGAGGCCTTCTTAATCAAGGTTTCGAGGCGGCCGGCGGTTGAGAGACATACAACATGGTACCTGCAGTGATCCAGGGGCCCAATTCGCTTAACGCGATCAGCTACATAAGACGTTAATTTTTAACGTTGAGGATCTCGTGTAGCACGTTCTACATGATGATAGCGTATCAGAAGAGAAACATTGGTGACACGTTTTGTTGATGTTGATTACTTTCAGTCATCGTAAAACCGGTGTTATGGCGAGCACACGCGCATTTGTTGACGCGAGGGTGCGCCAGGGGCGCCCCATGGCTAACGCCACAAAGTAGCACTGCCACGGGTCCTACGCCTCAACAGATCTCCCTCTGCCCTATCCCCTAAACGTTAGCCACCATATATAAATATGGCGTTCGCTGCCGCCACCGCAACGCCGCCGCTTGACCTTACCCCCCACCCTATCCACTCGTTTGAAGATGCGATTGCAATACGCCGTCGCCTGGGCAGTGGGCGCCGCCAGCGCGTGGTCGGCGCGCCCCGCACCCGGCGCCCCCCATCAGCGCCGCGCCATAGTCGGATTAGCCAACGACCTCGACAATCCGGCCGAATTCAACGTCAACCATGCCATCGTCACCGTGGCCCCGATCGGCTACGCCACGCCGCCGCCGGCGCCGTTGTCATCAGGAGAGTGCACTACGGTGACGCTGTACACCACGACCACCCCGACGGTGTACATCACCATTACCAAGAGCACTCCCGAGCCCGAACCGACCACGTCGCAGTCGACTGAGCCCACCACTGAGCCCACCACTGAACCAACCACGGAACCAACCACGGAACCAACCACGGAACCAACTACGGAACCTACCGTTGGGCCCACTACGGAACCAACCACTGAGCCGTCGTCCTCGACTGAACCCTCAATTGAGCCAACCACGGAGCCCTCGAGTGAGCCCACATCAGAACCGACTACGGAGCCGTCTACTGAGCCCACTACTGAGCCCACTACTGAGCCCACTACGGAGCCGTCTACGCAGCTGACGACTGAGCCGACGAGTGTTCCCACAACAGAACCGTCTACGGAACCGTCTTCGGAGCCAAGCACGGAGCCGTCGACTGAACCCTCAACTGAACCGACTTCGGAGCCAACTCCTGAGCCTTCAACAGAACCCACAACTGCTCCTACGACGGAGCCTTCAACGGAGCCTACCACTGAACCAACGACTGCTCCTACTACGGAGCCCACTACGGAACCGACGAAGGAACCTACTACGGAGCCTACCTCAAAGCCTACCTCGGAGCCTACCACGGAGCCCACTACGGAGCCTACCACTGAGCCAACTACTGCTCCTACGACTGCTCCTACGACTGCTCCTACGACTGCTCCTACGACTGCTCCTACGACTGAACCCTCGACGAAGCCCACCACTAAGCCCACCACCACTCCTGAGCCGACGCCACTGACGGAGTCTTCGTGTGTGGAAATCACCATCATCACCACCACCACCCCGACGGTGACCATCACCATCACCGTGCCTCCCACCTCGAGTGAACCGGCGCCTAAACCGACCACTGAACCCACCACCGAGTCGTCGACTGTTCCCGAACCGTCTCCCTCGCTGGAAACCTCGTTGCTGATCACCCCACCTTTCCCGATCCCCACGACGTCGCCGCTGATTCCACCTACTCCACCCATCCCTTCAACGTCAAGTTCAGTGACTCCTCCCCCCTCGCCGTCAAGTTCCAGCTCCGTTACTCCTCCTCCCGTACCAACTTCGCTGCTGATNTCCTCCTCCCGTGCCGACTTCGCTGCTGATTCGTCCTCCTCCCGTGCCGACTTCGCTGCTGATTCCTCCTCCTCCCGTGCCAACTTCGCTGCTGATTCCTCCTCCTCCCGTGCCGACTTCGCTGCTGATTCGTCCTCCTCCCGTGCCGACTTCGCTGCTGATTCCTCCTCCTCCCGTGCCAACTTCGCTGCTGATTCCTCCTCCAATTCCTATTCCCACAACGTCACCACTGATTCCTCCTCCTCCACCTATCCCTACCACCAATCCTCCTCCACCTATCCCTACCACCAATCCTCCTCCCATACCCACCACATCGGTACTGATCCCCCCTCCACCTCCTATTCCCACCACATCCGTGATTCCCCCTAACCCGCCAAACCCTCCCAACCCTGATAACGGCGGGGGTCACGGCGGCTCCCACGACCAATCCGTCGAGGAGTGTCGCGAGTACGTCTACAAACAGCGCTTCCTCTTCTTCTTCTGGAGATACAAGACGAAGACGGTGTGCTACTCCCGCTACCAAAACCAGTACACTTACGAAATCCACCAGCGCGACGTTTCCGGCGCCGCCCTGACCTCGGTTTCGCTTAGAGTGGCCGCGTTGTCGCTTGTCGGTCTCTTGTTTGCTTAAACTAATTGACCACTGACTTACATAACCTCGTTATAACTGATGATCCCTTTGGCTGATCACTTTCCTTTCTTTCTTCTTTCGGTATCATTTCTTAACATGGCTGTTAATATACACTTTCTTTCGACTAGCGTTATCTCCACTTGTAGGTGTTTTGGCCAGCGATGAAAAACTTGTTGGGGTTGGGGTACTCGCGGTAGGCGTAGGTGCCGTTCTTAAGCTTACGCTCAAACACATAACTAAGCAAATTGGGCGGACACCGCAGCTTATCGTAAACGTCGTCCATCACCTCAGCAGACCATTCAAGCGTCTTCTTCTCCTGATACTTGACGATATCGATCTCGTGGTGAGCTAACTTCTCGAGAAACTCCCGGCTCACATTCTTATGCCGGGGACACAGCGCTTTCAAAATCGCCAAGTGCCGGTGGATAGAGTCGCCGCCGTGGCCCAACAGAGCGTAGGAGAACTTCGAGTACTGCTTATCACTCTTGAAATTGGACATGATGCTCATCACTCTGAGCGCAGTCGACGAGCTGCCCAGCCCCGTGAACCGAAACTGGATGGAGTCATTGACGTTATAGTCAAAGATAAAACAGTAGAGCAGCTTGGGGAGGCGGAGCGGCAGATTCGTCAGCATCTTTAGGTTCAATCCGCTAAGCTCCAAGTACCGTAAATGGCGGAGTTTCTCAAACGAGCTATTACCATTGGGTAATTGCACCATCTGGTGGGTCTTGAAATCACGGTAGGGGAACTGGATGTGCACTTCACGGTATATTCTGATCTTTTCCACCGCCAGCGGCCACGTTATCGACGTGAGATCAGAAGGTTCCGTCACCACAATGGTGATGTCTCTAAGCGTATCGGGGGTATACTGGATCCCCACAGCGATATTCAGTGGCATCAGCACCAATTTCGGGGTGATGTGGAGCTTGATGTGGGACTCCCACGTGCCTTTGCCTCCTCTTCGGCGGGGGCCTTGGATGTGAACCATCTCGTGGTCGCCCCACCAGATACTCTTGATATCGCTCCAGTCACACCGGATCTCGCCGGAGTGGAACGTGATGTGCTCTAACGGGTTCTTAAACAATGACACTGAGTGGTACACTTGGACCAGAGTAATTTTATCGTCGTTGAAGTTGCCTGACACATCGTCATTGGTGACAGAGGGGAGCCGGTTGCGGTGGGCATCCACCAGCACCAAGCGGCTATCCACTTCAAGCAGCTCAAGCATGTTATTATCGGTAATGAGTCGGCGTAAATTGGGCGCCTCGAGCTTAACACTGCGTAAATCATTAGACCTGAGCGTTAAATCGGTTAATCGAGTAAACTCAGCAAACAGTGGCACTTTCGTCAACGAGTTATGGTCCAATTCTAGCACTTCTAAGTTGAGGCACTGGTTTAAATTAGGAACCACGCCCATATCAGGGTTTTCAGCGAGGATAAGCTCCAGAAGTTTCGGTAGTTTCCGGAATACAGGAGCATCAGTAAGCGAACAATTAATGAGTTCTATACTTTGGAGATCGGGTAAATTGACAAACTGGGGCGCCTGGCCCAACGGGTTGCACAGTAACAAGATCTCCTTCAAATTAGGGTAGTTAACGAACTCGTAGAGCCCCGTCAAATCGTTATTGTTGAGGGATAAATTGGCAATCGCCTGCAATTGCCGGAGGCCAGAAATGAAATATATGCGGTTGTGGCTGACATCCAATTACTCCAAGTCTAGGGGCTTCAAGTCGTGGTTCTGGAACGTCTCATTGATGTCAAACACGGTGATCTGGTTGTAGCACACGTCTAAATAACGGAGTCTCTGAGGAAGCAACGGGATCTTGCGGAGCCGGTTATTCAGTAAATCGACGTGGCGTAAGTGAATCTGAGTTTCTAACCCTTCCAAGTCGGTAAGCTTATTGTTAGCGGCGTGAAACTCCACTAATAGCGGTTGGTTTATTGAGGGGAGTTGGCGGATCTGGTTATTCAGTAATCGTATTTCACGGAGACTGGAACCACTAATACCCTCGACGCCTTTAATTGAGCAATCAGTCAAATCCAAAACTTCTAGTGTTGGGGGAAGCCCCGTCAACTCCACCACGGACGAGAGCTTTTCTCGGAGCCGAAACACTTTCGGGTTGCGGTAAATATTCTCCATCATCACTTCGAAGTCGCCGCTATACCTGATGTTAGGGTTCACGTCCAAAAGGTCGTCAAGGACAAAATTCACCGACGACTTGAACCAGTAGACATCAGTAAGGTGGGGCCAGCAGTAGGCGAAGTCGACGGCGGGTTTCCACACGAGCCGTACTCGAGATATCGAGAAATGAGTGAATTCTGGGAACACGATGGGAGATAGCAGGGGCAAGTTCGGGTCGTTTTCCCCAATACTATAGCGTCCGTCGGCCATAGTGAGTTTCCTTAATGAGCGGGGTAGCCCCTTTAAAAGTATAGTACAATTGTGGAGTGTCAATTCCTCGACTCGGGTATAAAACAAATTGATCCGATCGGAAATGTCGACCAAGTGCAACACTTTTAGCGTCTGGAGAAGTTCAATGGGGAAGAACTCTAGCGATATTTGGTCAATCAATGCGCAGGTAAACAATTGGTACGACAGCGCTTTGAAACCGCCGTTCAAAAGCGAGTCGTCGTTCCAGCTGATGCGCCGCACGTTATAGCGGCTGGCGACATCGCCCACCATCCGCTCGTAGAGCTTACGGGAGAAAAACGCATCAAAATCCTTTAGTGGCGTGAGCTCAACGTTCTTAAATATCAGGAGCATCTTCTCGATCCGCCAGTCGACGGGGTCGTACTCAAATTTGAAGGGGAGGTTGACCATGAAGTCGTAGACGTAGCGCCACTGGGGCAGGTGGGCGATGGCGCAGCAGAAGTGGAAGGTGTCGGTGGGGGATAGCTGGTCGAAGATCATGCTGAGGATCTCGACGGGGAGGTCCTGGGTGACCATGGCGGGAGAGATGGTTTTAGTAGTGGTAGTAGCTGGCGCATATCAGCTGAGACATGCAGCTGGGTCATGTGACCAGGGGGCGTCTACACGAGATAATTGCGACCGCAATTGCGACAAACAACACTGTAACGTCGCATCAGCAAAGGAATCGACCAACTGACTAAGTTTAGTTTGTGATGAGTCTTCCACTGACACTGACAATGATAGCATGTTGATCCTGTGACATTTGATGGCAATACCATTGATTATCGTTCACGTTGGAGGAGTATTTTGTTGTATACTTATTTGTACACAAGTGAGTTTTATTAACTCTTTACAGTCAATTGAAAGATACATTCACTCGAATGTTGACTCTAATCAAGTCATCTAACCAAGTGAATTATACAATCAACGGTTTGTTTTTTGTTTGTCTTATCACTTATCTTGACTTGGCAGAGATGATACTAGGTATTGCGATGCGTTGCGAGCGATAGCCGATAAGCTTACCCCTCATCTCAGGGATATAAGTACCAAGCAAAATGCCCCTTTTTATCAGCTATGCGCTACGTTACGAAGATTGACCTTGATTTACCGGGGGATGCTCAGCCTCAGGTACACAACCGGTGGCACCCGGAGGTCCCCGCCACCGAAACCATCACCCCGGGAGAAACCGTGAAGATCGAGTGTATGGACTGGACGGGCAACCAAATCAAAAACGACGACTATGCCGATGATATTCTCCACGTCGATTTAACCAGGATTCATTATCTAAGCGGTCCTTTCCATATTGAAGGTGCTCAACCAGGCGATGCTCTCTTAGTGGAAATCAAAGATGTCCAACCACTTGAACGCCAGCCATGGGGATACGGTGGTGTGTTTCACGTTGATAATGGTGGAGGGTTTCTCGACCGATTTTACCCTGAAGCAGCGAAGACGATATGGGACTTTGAAGGTGTTCAAGCCACGCTGAGACACTTACCTCACGTTAAGTTTAGCGGGTTGGTCCATCCAGGGATCATGGGCACCGCTCCATCAGCGCTGGTACTTAATGAGTGGAATTCTCGTGAATCGTCATTGAAGGAGAGAATCCAGGCTCACCACCATACCGCGGTGGCTCAGCTTCCTAACCCTAAAGGAGCTCATGGCGGTCACGCTAAAGGTGATGTCGCTACCAAAATCGCTAGTGAAGGGGCCCGGACGATTCCGGGACGACCGGAAAACGGGGGCAATTGCGATATTAAGAATCTTGGTCGGGGGCTGAAATGCTACTTTCCAGTATACGTTCCTGGAGCGAACTTCTCCATTGGCGACCTTCACTTCTCTCAGGGCGATGGAGAAATCCTGTTTTGCGGCGCCATCGAAATGGCGGGCGTCGTCACCTGTCTGTTCTCCGTCATCAAAGACGGCACTAAGGAATTACTGCTTAAACTGCCGATGTTCATCGCTGGCGACGTCCCCACGCAGTACGGGCCCGCCCGCTACTTAACGTTCGAAGGGTTCAGCGTCGACGAAAAGGGCCACCAGGAGTTTATGTGTGCCACCACCGCCTACCGCCAGGCGTGTATCCGGGCGATCGAGTACTTGCGGCGGTACGGCTATAGCGACTACCAGATCTACATGTTGCTCAGCTGTGCTCCCATCGAGGGCCACATCGCCGGGATCGTCGATGTGCCCAATGCTTGTACCACGTTGTCGCTTCCGATGGACATCTTTGACTTTGACATTCGCCGCGTCGAGGCAAAGCTGGTGGTGGCATCTGACTGTGCCTATGTGAAAGGGGCCAGCCATAAAGTAATCTATGAGTTTTAATACATCGCTTAAGGAGAGAGCCCACTCGAACGCAATGATTTGAGTCTGACGGTGGTTTATTACCAGGGTCTGACGGTTTGCAGGCTGGCTGCCGCTATCTTGGCCTTGCACGAGTCATCCACCGGGGCTGGGGTGACGATCCTGGCGGCGCCGTACCAGTCGCACGCGTCTGCCGCCTTCCCTTGGTCTTGGTAGAAGGCGTCCAACACAAACGACACCTTGTCCCTCATGGAGCAAAACGACATCCCCCCGTATTTACCGGTTCCGGTGTTGACGTTGATGGCGCCACAGAGGGACGGGTCGAGGCCACAGACCATGCCGAACAATTCGTTGTAGTCCTCTTCCCTGACGAAGTCTTCAACAACACACTCCAACGAGTTCACCACACAGGCACAGGTGTCGGCGTCGGGAGTCGGGGGCAACTTGGGCGACGCGTTCCATTCTCCAAACCGGACGGCGGGGCAGGCGACAGTGGCTGAGGCCTCTTCCGACGACGCCGACGCTGACGCCGAGGCCGAGGCCCGAGGGGAGTACGACGGCGACGGAAGCTGAGCCATTTGCGCCAGCAAGTTGATGAAGTCGTCCAGCGTCGACACGTTGCCTGCGGACACCGACACCAACCCGTAGTCGTCTCCCTGTTCCTGGTACGTGTAGACGATACCCCCCAGCCACACGTCGGTCATGTCGTCGGAGTAGAGGGCGGCGACCTCGTTAAACGGTCTGGGCCCGTCGCTATCAAGACACCCGTACTCGGAGAAGAACACGGGGATGGGCATGTCGGCGTAGTCCTCGGTGCGGTTCTTGTAGCCCGAGGTGTCGAAGTCGACGGCAGCACCACACCACTCGTACATGCTGATACCAAAGAAGTCGGCCCGGTCGGCGGCGTCGCCACAGGCAAAGTAGTGGGCGGTGCGCACACGGATGTCGTTGGCGTCGGTGGTGGCGTACCCCACGGGGATGGCGCGGCCAAACGTGTCGTGATTGTCCTTAATATACTGCTTCAGGTCTCTCACGGCGGCCTTGACGAAGGCGGAGGCGTCGGTGTTGTTCTTGGCGTTGGACACTTCGTTACCGGCGAAGAAACCGAGGACGTTGTCGTACTTGCCCAAGTCGTCGATGACGGCCTTGTATCGGTCGAACAACTTGACGGACCACTCCCACGAGTCGACGGAGCTGGTGATCGCCAAGTCCGGGGCCGCCAAGTCGGCGACGACGTAGATGCCGGCGTCGGCGAACGCCGCCATACACTCGTCGTGGGACTGGTTGCTGGAAACGGCGTAAACACGTACGGTGTTGGTGTCGAGCTGCTTGAGGTATTCAATGTCACGCTTGCAGGCGTCGCCGTCGGCTAACGGGTCGACGAACGAGGTCTCGTCGGCAGCGGCATAGGCGGGTTTCTGCTGGTAGGCGACCCCTTTGATCATAAACCGTTCCCCTGTGATTGAGTCGTAGAACTTGTTGCCCACCACTTCAATCGGGTTGATAGCTAAAGCACTGGCAGCAACCGCCACCACCGAAAGCCACTTCATCGATTGCAAATAAGAATGAAGCGAATGGACGACAGGCGTATTTTTCGTACCGTTCGTATACGCGCTAAAATTTACGGCGATGCGGGGGAGGCGTTTTTCGCTAAATCGCTTAACTAAAATAACTCAACGTCGTTTATAATGATGAGAAACTCAATCACTAACACAAAGCACTAAACATCATTACATCTGTTTGAAGATTGTATTTCCTTCGTCACAATGAGAGCAGTCACTAGCGATGACAATTGCAAGGATGAACGGGCAGTATCGCTTAACCATACGAGTTCGATAAATGCTACGAACGTGTCTATATCCAGTATTGTTTAACTCAGTAAACATCGACTCAATTTTAAACTGCTAAGTGCCTACTTTCTTTTTTTCTATTATTTTTATTTCTATAACGATTTTTTTGCTTCTATCAAAGAGAGGGCCTGCCTGTGGAAAAAAATTGATGCTAGTTGTAGTTGGGGATGTCCAAGTGGAAGAACGGGGTGTTCGTCGAGAGCGCCGCGTAGTAGCCGCCGTACTGCTCGATGTCGTCGGCCAGGGCGATGTTGATGTAGGTGTTTTCGCTCACCAAGTCCTCGCCGTAAGTACCGAAGCCGGCGTTCAACAACGCCCGCCGCGTCCACGGCAGCAAGATCCCGGAGAAGTGGAACTCGACCTCGCGGTCGGCGTAACGGTTACACACTTTTCTCAAATCAACAAGCGCCTGGATCAGCGACACATCGACCTGGGCGACGTTGGAGAAGTCAAAGTGGACGATCCGCAAAAGCGGGCGGGTGTCGACCTTCTCTTCGTGCTGGTGCTTCTTGCCCCGCTTCCAAAAGGGGACGAGGGGACCGGGGTCGTTCCAGGGGCGCAGACCGGCATCTTTGTAACTGAGTTGAATGCCTCTTCTCGTCGTCCGTTTCATTTCATCAGACACCATATCGACGATTCTCAGCGAGTTAGGGTACACAAACGAGTCGCCAGGACGGAACACAATGACACCCGGAGGAGGCGGTTGCACGAACACGTTGGGATTGATCCCCATCTTCTGATCCAGAATAGGTACCCACCGAGTGTGGAATTTGATCTGAGGGTGGTTACTGGTCAAGTCACGAGCCAGGTATGTCGGCGGGGTGTGGGTTTCTTCGAAGGCTTCCTTAACCTTTAATTTATCGGTCGCCTGGTAGTTCAGCCCCGTGAGCACCTGGTGGATCTCGATGTCCAGCAGCAGTTGTTCCAGATTAGCCTCCAGCGAGTCTTCCGCCGAAGTGATGGGGATGTGGTCGACGGTCGGGTTGACCACTTCCGCCACTTGTAACCGGCCAAGGAACTGGCCCTTGCAGAAAGCCACGCGGAAGAGGAAGATGACAATCGAGGCACCAACGGCAAAGTAGACCCCGTCTTCAATCAGAGCGAACACGGTGATGATGACACAGATGAGGAAGATACCACAGTCGACAGGCAGCACGTTCCAGAAGCCTAAGGTGACCTTGTAATTGGCCATAAGGTCGGAGACGGCGTGGATGATCACGGCACAGAGGGTAGCTTTGGGGATATAGTAGAAGGCATCAGTAAACGCATAAAGCGCCAATAAGACAACGGCACCAGTGAAGATACCGGCAAGGGGAGTACGCACACCACACTTGGCTTTTAAAGCTGAACGGGAGAACGAACCGGTAGCAGGGTAGGCGTTAAAGAACGTACCAATCAAGTTGTTGACGCCAATAGCAATCACTTCCTGATCGGGACTCACTTTATAGTCGTTGATTCTGCCAAACGATTTGGCAATGGCAATGTGTTCCAACAACAAGATCACCACCGAAACGGGGATTTCACCCGCCATTGAGCCAATAATGCCGTCGGGGATGGTCATGACCCCAACGTTCTGCAAACCCTTGGGCACATTACCGATGGTCTGGATCTTAGGCTTAAACTTACCGGGCCCCTTAAACGCAACCTTCTGAGGGTGGACGATCCCCCAGGCAATACAGGTGGCGACAATAATGACGACGGCGTTACGCAACTGTTGAGTGTAGAAAAACACCCATTTGAGTCTCGGGTAGCGGGTTTGCCCCTTTTCCGTAAGCCATTTCCAGAGGTATAAGATGAAAAGCGGCACGAGCCCAAAGGCGGCGTTGACGTTAGTGTCAGGTAACTTTTTCAAAGTGTTGACCACCACCTTGTACGAGGCTTCACGGGTGTTGACTTCGGAATTGTAGCCCATGAGCCCGGGCACTTGGCCCACGATAATGGAAAACGCCGAACCAGACATAAACCCCATGACGGCGGGGATGGAGATGAATTCAAGGATAAACCCGAGTCGTAAGACACCAATACCGGCAGCGATACCACCACAGATTAACGATAAGAAAGTTGCAATTTCTGGAGCCAGGTACTTATCGCCGTTCCGCTTTTGCACGTTAGCAATCACTTTAGACACTTGTAACGACATCACTGCCACGGGACCGATAGACACATCTTTAGACGTGGCAAAGAACGAGTAAATAAACACACCGACAAACGACGAATAGAGACCGTACTGAGGTTCAAGACCGGCTAACTGGGCGTAGGACATCGACTGAGGCACAAGCACTACCCCCACGGTGATACCGGCGATCAAATCACCGGTTAACCACCGGAAGTTATAGTGTAAGATCCACTGGGCGATGGGGAAAAGCGAGATGAAGTAGTGTTTGATCTTACCCCAAGGGTCAGCAAACGTCTCCTTAGTCCAGTCGATCACCGTCACTTCCGGCTGGTCGTATTCACCAACGGGCACCAGCCCCGGGTAGTGGTGCGATTGCTGGTACTCGTGGCTGCGGATCTGGGCCAATCTCTCGTTTTCCGACACTAAGTCTTCGACCCGGTGGGCCTCGAAAAGCTCGGGCACGTGCAGTTGTCCTTCTTGAGTGGTCAGTTTGACCGTTTCGAGCAAATACTCCGGCAAGTGTTCGATGTGCTGTTCCAAGCTGTGGCGGTGGTGGTGGTCGTGGTGGCCACCGAAATGGCCGTGATGGTGTTGCGATTGATTGGGAGAGTCATGGGAAACGCCCTGGAAATGGGGCGAGCCCGGGGAGTCAGCTTGGGCATGGCTACTTTGAGGTTCACCATCTCCCTGGAAGTGCTGACTCGGATGACCAGTAGCAGGATGATCGGACATTATGCTCTTCGCTGACCCTGGTGACAATGATCTTGCGTCCTTTTTATCAACGGCTGATCCGAGAAAGTTAATTCAGTGGCCAGTAAAATTTTTTTTGCCCTTTGACATAAAAAATTGTGGTGAAAGTCGTCCTGGCTGTGGCTGACGATTTTGCAGCCACAGTATGCGAGCGATGCAGCAAGCTTGCGTTAGTAAAGTTTCAATCGAGAAAAGGAATCAAATTAACTGGGGGGGAAAGAGATAGGATTTGTGGCCGTGGTGGTGGCATCAGTACACTTGCTCAAGGCGTTTCCAATTTATCCGGTTTTAAATTGGTGATTTCTATGGTTGTAAAACGACGTAGAGGAGGTTACTGATTGTGATTTGTCATAGGGGGCGGAAATGCAGAGCTGTGGGTAGCAGAGCGCCGACGGGTGGGGGGGGCAACACACCACCCCTAAACGCCTGTGATTTGGCTGGGGTCGTGTGCTGTCGCCCCGATAACGGCAATCTTGCCTCATCGCCTTCAGTCACGTGATATGGTTTAATTTTCGCACCGGGATGATATAACCAGGCCAACGTTGTGGCGGGCGCATCACATTAACCAGAAGAATGGCAATATTTAGGTCCGGCTACACAATATCGTCGCCATCGGGCGCAATCTGGCTTTTTCAGCGGTATTGTTCTCGACGTAGCCGTGATCGTCTCCCGAAACGGGAGTTTAGCATCGGGGATCGCCGCCCCACGACCGCCTGCCATTCGCACACGCTTTCGTAGTTAAGCTTTTTTTTTTCTGTGTCCACCACAGTGACGCGATGTCAACCGTAGTGAGGAAACCAAGAGCCTAAGCCCTCGGTGGGCGGGACCAAAGAAATTGGCGTGCAAACTTTAACTGGGTTTAGGCGCTTGAGCGCTTCAGCCTCGCGCCGGCGATAACAGAAATGGACGATTATTATTTGTCCACGGCGTTGTCTCCACAGTGTACGCAAGTGGAAATAGTCATTGCCCACAAAAACGTGGGGGCACGGACGAAGGATGCCGACAATTCCACGGTCCCGTAAGCCTCGTTTGAGAAAGCCTTGCCATTGTATCCCGTTTTTGTGCTCAGGCGGGTTTTTCCGATAACTAATTGAGTGGTCATTGGTGACCCTTTGGAAAGAGGCTTACCCCACAAAACCGTGGCGGCAGCCACTGGTGTCCCCCAATAACTCGGAGATCTGTGCCACTGACGTTCCCGCCTCGCACTCTCTCGGAGTTTTGCCGCACTGCATGGTAACTGCGACCATCATCCGAGGCCAGGTGGGGGCGTGGGACGTGGGGGGCGTGGTCGTGGTTTCGACGATGATTCCACAAACATCGATAGCAAAATGCCGTAGATGCCTTTCGATTGTTAACCAATTAATTGCAGTTTCCACTGACTATGCCTAGTAGCTACACAAAGCGTTTTTAGTTTGTTCGTTTCGAGATTGAGCGCCGTTGGCCCACGCTTTGTGGTGGGTGTCTGGGGATTGTTTCAAGCTCTCGGATAATCGTGAAACAACCACACGACCCGTAACATAAAAAGAAATAGAGGTTACGGATTTTCTAATTAACTCCCCTCCTGATATGACGGCTCCTCCTTGCTTGCCAGCAACGACGAAAAGTGTGGTGTTGGAATACCTTGGCGACGACTTTCCCAAAGTGGGATGTCGTTTGTCGTACAAATACCCCGTGATACCGCCTCCGGTGCTCCCGGCTACAGGCTTTACCATTGTGTACCATATCCGGGTCAATGGCCTCCCCCTCTCCCTGGCGGCGTTGTCTGCTGTTGCCACCAACCACGCTGAATCGCCTTTATGGACAAAGCTTGACTATGAGCCCGAAGCTCATTTCTCCGACGATAATGACCAGAGCTCTGGTGGAAGCTTTGAGTTTCGCTTCCCGCCAATCTCAGAAGTCGGTGGAGGCACGCTTACTCTGATCACAGTAGACATCGATCTCTACACTCTGCTTCTGCTGCTTACCATCACCACTCTCTTCCACTGTTTAAACTCCATTTTCCAAACGGTATACATCAACCTAGAGTTTGACCTCCCCTTGATCTTTAGCGTGTACGGTCGAGCTCTCCTACGTCTCGTGAAACCATACATCGACACCGTCTACGAAGAGATGCTGGCCCCGTCAACTGACCCGGAATTGGTGAAATTGGAACAAGCGATCCGGTGTCTGCACAACACTCTTAACGTGATGCTCACGAAAAAGACGCTCCGCGGAATCAGGCTGGCTCCCTATGATATGCGGATGCTCCGCCATCGACGCATTGATTTGTAATTGCCTGGTGGGTTCCCCGCCGCAGTGCCGCGGAGTCGGCACCTTCAACGTAACGTCGCATTTTTTTGGAACCGCCAAGACGCAGCCTTCATCAACGACGACTTTAACTTCGTGTCAAAATCCTACTTCAAATCACTTGGAAATTCACTCCTCTCGAAAAATGTTAGCCATGTCCAGAATTCTTTCACCCAGCCGTATCCTATTTTCCAAAAACCGTGCGATGAGGTTGATCTTAGTTGAGATGCTTCTCCAGTGAGGGGGGGCGGCTTCGGAGGACAGCACGCCCCCTGCACACAGAAATTATCCGCGCTCAAAGTTTGTCCGAGAGTCCGACCACTTCAACACTTATAACCTTACCCCTCGCACTCCAAAACCAAAACCAAAAACCTACCAAACATCAAACATGGTCAACGTTGCTGTCGTCGGAACCGGGATCTTTGCTACCGATACTCACTTGCCAGTGCTCCAAGCTAACCCTGACATCACCGTTGTGTCGTGCTACAACCGCACCAAGCTGAAGGCGGAGGCCTTCGCTGAAAAGCTGGGAGCTCAAAAGGTGTACGACACCCTTGACGAAGTGTTTGCTGACCCTCAAGTTGACGCCGTCGACGCGTTGTTGCCCGTACAAAACAACGCCGATGTCGTGAAGAGAGCGATTGCTGCCAACAAACCCCTCACCATTGAGAAGCCCATCGCCGCCAACTTGGACCAGGCGAGAGAGATCGTCCATGCCACCAACAACTCCAACGTCCCCGTGCTTGTGCTTGAGAACTGGTGCTACCGTAACGCCATCGCTAAGCTCCGCGAGCTTGTGGCCAAGATTGAACCGGTGGCGTTCACTTACCGTAGCACTGGACCTTTCGCTCCTAACAACAAGTACTTGAACACGCTGTGGCGACAAAACCCCGAACACGTCGGTGGCTACTTAAGTGATGGTGGTGTGCACCAATTGGCCCTTCTTACCGAAGTGCTTGGCGACGTGAAGCTGGTGTCGGCTTTGACCAAGCAATTGCGTGATGTCAGTGGCGATAAGGACATCTTGTTCTCCACCTTCACCATGGAGTCGGGTTTGATTGGTACCTTCACTTACGGGTCTACTTTTGGGGCTACGGAAAAGAAGCTCCAGTTCGAGATCTACGGTACTAAGGGTTCCATTGTCTACGACTTCTCCCCTCTGCTCAAACAGCTGAAGATCACTTACCGCGAAGGCGGTAACCTTGACGAAGCCAAGGAACCCCAAACCATTGACGTTGACGAAGGCAACACCATTGCCGCCGAATTCGCCAACTTTGTCGACGCCGCTAAGACCGGCGACAAGCTGAAGTTGACGTGCACTCCCGCCGCTGCCTTCCACCACTTTGCCATCGTCGTTGCCTGCATCGAAAGTAACGGTAATGTCGTTGAGGTGGCCAAGCCGTAAATGTCTCGAAGGGACCATATTAACAAACGTAATCATAAACAAATCCTTCGACATCAATAGATGTAAAAGTTTCTTTCAAATGTCGGCATTGTCTCATTGTGATGTCACTGCTAATCCAAATGACGAAGACTTAAACATCAGTGAGTTACACCGTATAAGTGAAAAATTAAAGTAAGAAATTTGATTAGAAAACCCAAATTGATCAATAGCTTGATAGGGGAATCATGTTAGTGCTTTCAAGTCCTAAAATTTGCTCCAGGGAGTCTTATTCGATAGCATCACCAATAGAACCAGGCCCAGAAGAAAAACATGATGAGAACTAAAACTGAATAATGCTATTGTCAAACAGAGAGCTAGTACGCCAACTTCGGGATGACGTCTACCAATTTAGAGTATACAGAGTACACGTGATCGGGGTGATAACCACTTCCATAGTAAGTATAGTCAAGGAAAGTCCACCACTGAGGGGTATATAAGCAAGCATGGGGCCACATAGTATAGTAAAGTTATGGACCACACTCCCTCACTGCCCTCTGAGCTGATCTCTGAACTGGCTCTGGAACCGGCCTCGAAACAAGTCCCTGAATCAATCTCAAAACCTACTCTTGAACTGCCCGTTGAACTGCCCGTTGAACTGCTGGAACTGCTGGCTTTGGCACTGGCGGACCTGGCTAACGAATCCGGCGACGACCGCACTGGTCCCGCCATCAATGAACTCAATGAAGACCAACCCATAGCTGAACCCATTGTCGAGCTCATTCAACAGACCCAGGCCCGAATTGAAGCTCAGGCAGTTGACGCCGTCGATGCCTATATTAATGACTCCATTGAAGAAGTCAGACGGTTAGACCACGAGCAACCGCTGATTGACGACTCTCTTGAAAGCATTCGCCAGGGCCACATGCGGTTATGGAGATTGGTACTTATTCATGCCCAAGCGGTCGAAGAATACATCTGTCATCAAGCCACGTTCTACCGGGAAACGGTGGAAGAAGCGGTGGCCCAATTTGGCGCCAACTACGCTACCACTGACCAGGCGAGACTGGCGTACAATAACCACATGAACCGGGTGGAATTGAAGCAGCGGCTTAGATTCCACCACCAGTTGTTCACCCAGGGGTGCCACCACGTCATCGACCAAAGCCATGCCAAGATCGGTGAAGCCATCGACGCCGTGACCAGATCAGAAATTGCCCACTGGCAATACCATAAGCGGCACCACACCGATGTCACTGGAATCGTTGATTTGACCGGTGAGGACCAATCATAAGAATGAATACGTTAACGTAATATCTTGTGTGAGTAATTTGTAGATTAGTGAAAACATCCGATAGAACCCCAGCAGCAACAAGACTTCTGCGCTTTGATGAGGAGCTCGTTTCACTCTTCTCGAGGATTGGCGTACTGGGACCTACTGCCAGCCTGAACCAAAGGCATACAGAGTAGTTTCGACCTATTAATTTCTACTTCACACCAGGAACGGTAATATCTACACCACCAGTCTAGGACCGTCGAGACATAGCCTTGAACGCCGTTATCGAATGATGATGCCCGTGTATTTACGGTAGCGCGATTGTATCGTCCACAGCGACCAAAGTGGCGAGGTCAGTGGGCATTACCAGAGAGCGAAGTAGTACTACAAATGTGTTGTTTGCGTCAGTCTGGACTGGGTGCCAGTCCGTTTGTGGATGTAAATTAGCTATATAAAAGGAGGAGAGTATTAAGCTCATGACGAGGTATATTTCGCGGGCAGACCCACTGGAAACAAGGCTGACTCGGTTTGAAACCCCGAAGGCAACAACCTCGTCCGCCGTTGTTCGGTGGATGCGTCGATAAACCAATGAACGTTCCAAGTTAGCAGGTTAATCCCTCTTGAATGCGCGGTACACACTCAGCTGTAACACCCATTAAGGGCGGAAAGAACTTAGAGCCTGAATTCTTCTTCCCTTCATTGGTTATGATCACACTGATTCCAAGAGGCAATAGCACAACTGTCCTCAGTGATCGCCTTCCTCATCATGAGTGTCAACACGCTCCACACATCGTAGCCGCGACTGCTCTTCTACTAGCGTAAAATGGACCCAGCTGTCTCTTCCATGGCTGTCCTGAACTGCCTGGTCGCCGACGGGTGTCAATTTCGCTTCCACCAGCCACACACAGCCTTACCTATCCTTTTGGGCTAAACTGCATTCACAGCTAGTCTCCAGACGACCCCATTGTTTAGGGGTGGGAAGGGCGAAAGGACTTAGGAGCTGTATACGTCGATGGAACCGTCGTGATCATACCGTTGACATCAGACCAGAGTATCTCGGCCCCAGGGGGCAATCGTGTCAGCAACAGCCATGTCAAAGGCAACCAAGCCACCATACTCTAGTAGAGAAGTAGCCATGACCAAGCTTCAAAGTGTGAGGGGGTGATGGAGAAAAAGGCTCGTTATTTATGCTGTTCGGCAAGACTTTCGGGGGATAATGTTCAGGTTGACGACAAAGACTCAAGGGGCTAAGGCGGGTTCAGCATTCCGCAATGCCCATTGTTTCTCATTGCCGTCTCGTCAATTGCTCCGCCCAGATTGTGTCCATTGCCCAGCATTCCCTAATCGCGCGATCGTGAAGTGGTGGCAAACGGCGACAATAGGGAGATCTAATCAAGATCCATGGCGCACGAATACGGTCAGTGCAACCTAGACATACTTTCCTTCCCTCACTTGATTCCTTCTTTCCAATCCGTAGTAGATTGACAATGATGACCCACTCAACAAAGGCGGGCACGGTTCACTGCAGAGGTCATTGTTCGCATTGTCGTCTCGTCGACGGTTCCACTTCCAAATTGGGATCATCGTCTAACATTCCCTTATCGCGCCATTGGTGGCAATGGAAATCAAATTGAGGTTCAATCAAAATCCTTTGGGGACTAATACATTCGGCAGTGATAGTATTTGTCTCCCCTAGCTTTTCAAGTCGTGGTAGGCTCATTTAAAACTGACTTCAAGTTCATCATCTTGACAACGCCGGAGGATGCCATTGTGGAATGCAATAGCATTGTTGGATGGCTTGGCAAAAGAATTGTTGGTTGACGAGGCAACTGTGTCATAATATCCTCTATATGGATAAGGGCTAGAACTGGGGCCAGGGGCGGCGCTGTTGTCCCAAATGTGATTATCTCTTTGCGAGGCTACTGCGACAGTCACGTGACTTAAATTTATCAAAGTCTGGGGAACCAATACAATTTATAGCTGTTACAAGGATAGCCAATGCAAATTTGTCAAAAACATCATTCTATATATTTTATTGGATTATTGAACCCACGTGAGGCCATCTCAATTGAATTCGATTTCAGATCGATGGCTTAAGTTGATAGGGTTCTTGTCGTACCTACGGTCAATACTTTATAACGAAACCTACTTTTATAACAGTACGAACATCTATACCCAAAGTGAATTTCTATGATTTGGTAATCATTGGGCCAATGTAACCCAATAATCGAATCAGAGAAAATTTTAGACTACAATTTCAACTTAATCACAGAAAATACAAAACTTTTGAATCGTTTGAAAATCAAACTAAACTAGACATAACTCTCGTCCTATATAGATTAAAACGACCTTCAAGCCTTGTGGGCTTCGGCTCTCGAAGGGACCTTACCGCCGTAGGCCAGCTTTTCCACTTCGTCGACCAGCTTACGGAAACGGCGTTGCGATTCACATTGCTCGAGGAAGATCTTGTACTTGGCGTTCAAAATTTGTCTCTCGGGCGCCAGGTCGTCGGAGGGGACAATCACCTTACCGGGACCGGTCATTTGTCTCATCAACTCCCACAATTTTTCGCCGGTGGCCTTGGCCTCGGCCTGGTTCTTCAGGTGAGTTAAAGGCAGCAACTTCAAGTCGCGGATCTTCTGGTTGACTCCCTTTTGCACGTTCAGCTTCAGCCCGAACGAGAGCGTCTGTTCGTCCTCGGAGTCCAGGTCCACCGCCAGCAGCTTAGGCTTGGCCGTCGATTGGTTGAAGTAGTCAGTCTCCTCATGCATCGGCGTCATGTGGGGGACACCGCTGCCGGCACCAGCAACCGCGGGGACGGCACCACCGTAGGCCAAACCGGCCATGTTGGCCGTCAGCGCCAGCGCCGTGGGCTGAGTGTAAGGCGAAGGGGGACGTTCAGGCACACCGTGGGCGTCCAAATTCACTTGGGAGCGGGTCAGCGCCAACTTAGAGGTACGGCGCAGTCTACCACCCGAAGATAAGTGCTCTTGCACCATAGCATCGGCAGCCACAGCACCAAGAATAGCACTACCAAACACCACGGCAGCATCGATGTAGCGGGGGACAATCACGGGCTTACCGGTACAGTCAGCAAGCAATCTCATCAACAACCCGTTACGGCACTGGCCCCCCAGCATAAACACGTAGGAAATGTCGTGGCCCAGCTTTTCCATTTCCTCGACGATTTGACGAGTCTGTTGAGCGATAAACTCACAAGCGGCGTAGTACTGGATGGCCAAGTCGTTAACCGAGGTGTCCATCAGTTGACCAATAATCAGCGCTCTCATGTTGGGGTCGGCGATGGGCGACCGGTTACCGTGGAAGTCACCGTAGAAGTACCAGTGTTTAGCCAACGACACCACCGAGGGGACATCGCGGTCTCTAATCAAATTCTCAAGGGTCAAGTTTAAGAAGTCAAACTTCGATAAGTTCGACTGTTCGGCTTCGTGGGCGAGTTCACGGGCAGCAGGGTGGATGGCGATGACGTGGGCTAATAATTGACCGGTCAACAGCTGACCGCCTTCGGCTAGCCAATAGTTAGGCACCATTACATCACGGTACGGACCCCACACCCCTTTGACGAAATGAGGGTCTTTAGACATGGCAATGTGACAGGTCAGAGTACCGGCAACGGCAGCCAAACGACCACAAGCCGATTCGATCTTGGTCAGAGCGTCACCTACAGTATTAGGGTGTTGCCATTTTTCAGGCACTTCGACCTTAGCGGCGACGGTACCGATCCAACCGGCGTAGGCATCGATTACCCCTGAACCGACGGCACATTCAGTGGTGAGCCCCAATTGTTCCGCGGCTTTTTCCGTCAACATACCCACGACTTCACCGGCCGACTTCCAGGTACCAGTATGAGCGGGAGTGCCACCAAGCTTAGCAAAATCATTTTCCACAAGTTCAGGCAAGCGGATTTGGTTTAAGAATTTCTCCAGCCACCCAGTTTCCGAACCTTCAACGCCAAGAGGTAAGAATCCTTGCTTACACACAGTAGAACAGAAGGAGCGGGTCTCAGTGCCCGTAGCCTTATGGATGAGGAAGTCAGCCAAATCGTAGAACTTCAAATCGTTAATCCCGTTGGGGCGGTGGTGCTTCAACCACTTCATCTTGGGCAATTCCATCTCAATGGACATGGTACCCCCCACGTACTTGAGACAGGGGTCACCGGTGGCGTTGATCTCGTCGGTTTCTGCCTCAGCACGGTGGTCCATCCACAAGATAATATTTTCCTTTTTATCAGTGAAGTCAGGCCCCACCGCTTCCGGCTCGTCGGTGTCGCAATTGATTGCTACCAACGAACAAGTAGCGTCGAAGCCAATGCCAAACACGTGTTCGGGATTGACTCCCGCATCACGGACAACGTGCTTGACACAGAAACAAATGGCGTCCCAGATCTCCGTCAGCGACTGAGTGATGTAGTTAGGCTTGAGCTCGTGGCGCGTGATTGGCTTCTCGGCAAGCGCCAATATGACACCGTTGGTGTCAATTAAACACGCCCGGGCCAGACCGGTGCCGACGTCGACCCCGGCATAGTACACGTCGGGTTGCGGTGCCGCCTGGGGGGTGTTGAAAAACGACAGCTTGCGGGTGGTGAGGTTGGTGCGAGACATCGTGGTTAGCTGTTGGTATGGTTATAACCGTATTAGCTGAATTGTGAAACGACACAAGAACTTTTGTTTGAGGGGCGTCTCAGGGTTATATAACGAGAGTCACAAACCTGGGCGCGGAGGTGACTAATGCCTTATATAGGGTGTTTGGCGGGGGGGCAGCGCTTATGTGTCCGGCAGGTCGCGGGTGCTTGTGGTTGTGAGGAGCTTGTGTGCTGAGGTGCGGTGACGTCATCAAGCAACCGAGGATTTTGGGGATCAGTCGACGGCGCCCCGGATTTTAGGGCAACAACCGTCCGAAAGAGAAATAATGTAATTAGACTAAACGGGCGTTTAAATGCTATCGAATAAGAAATTATGGGGTGGCAACAAAACGGGTAATACTTCAAACAACAAACAGCTATGGTCAGTTATCGGTAAATTAGTGAAATGGCTACAGGTTAAACAGTATGGTAGCTGTCGGTTTGTGTTCGTTAGAGTAAATTCTTGCTATGGGCTATGGTACAGGGGAATCCGGGGTCACGGCGACGGCGTCACCGTGCTTGATAAGCACACGCCGGTTTTGTGGCCGTATTCTTTTCTTAGTCGGTTAATGCTTCATCGGCGGGTACTTTGCCACCAGGTCGACCAAGAAGTCGAACTGCTCCAGGTTCTCGACGGCGGCGCGGATGTGCATCGCCAGAATGCGCTTCACCCCTTGTTTCCTCAGCTCGATGATGGCGCACTCGACCAAGTTGGCCATGAAGATCTCGAGCGCGCGCCCCACGATGATCGGCGTCGCCTGGGCCACCTTGCCAATGTCGTCGTCCAGTTGCATGATCTTTTTGATGCGGGCAGCGGGGAAGTGGGTCTTGATCTTCTCAAACAGTGATAGTATCGATTGTTGAGTGACTTTGGTGGGTACCTCGGCCTTGGTACTATCCAGTTTGTCCTCATCATCATCATCATCATCAGCATCAGCTGACTCGTGCTTCACGGTATTGTTGTTAGGCTCATTTTTGACGGGATTATAGTCATCGCTGGGCTCATCTTTCATCACGTAGTCCTCGTCGTCTTCCTGGATGCCGTCGCCGGAATCAGTGCCCGATTGAGCGGGGGAGTCATCGTGGTCTTCGCCGTCGCCGCCACTGTTCAGCTCCTCCTGTTCCGTTTCTGGATCGGGCTTTGGCGGCTCAGTGTCGTCGTGGTGTAGAAGCAGGGCAAGGTCAGACATTTAGGGCGATGGGGGGAGGGCAACGAGTTCCTCCTT